AAATAATGAAATGGTTAGAAAAGAACTAAGGCCAATGAGGGAAAAATGATAACTGGGGTCATTACTGCGTATTCACACAATCTGTGCCACTCTCTTTCTAAGGTAACTTTCTGTGGCAGACTGTATTTTCCAAAAATAGCCCAATAATATTTTCTCTCTTACATGTAACTCTGAAACTCATCCCACTGAGAAGTACAGTCTGTGGTCCCTTCGCTTGAATTCAGGGGGGCTTTTAACTACAGTGAAAGTGATGCTATGCGACTTCTGAGACTACGTCATAGAAGGCAATAATGTTCAGCTTCTGCCTGGTTTTCTTGGGATGTTTACTTTTAAAACAGAGCCACCATACTATGACAAAAACCATACGTAAGAAGACTTACGTATGAAAGAAACCAAAGTCCTGGTCCACTGCCCCAGCTGAGCTTCCAGCTGACAGCTAGAACCAACTTGCGACCTCTGAGAGCAAGCTGTCTTGAAGTGCATCCCCCGGTTCCCAAACAATGCACCCCAAGCGAGACCGTGTGGAACAGAAATAAACCGTGCCCAGAGATCCATGCCCAAATTGCAGACTGATGAGCAAAATAACCAACTGCCATTTTACACCACTACATTTTGTGGTGGTTTGTTACACAGTAATAATAACTAGAATACTTCTTATACTTCAAAGTCTAAAAAACTATAAACTATATTTTTCTGACTCCTTTGCAGCTAGAGTTCTGGTTGTGAATTGTGTTCTACCAAATACAGGGAGCCATAAAGTCTGGAAATATAGATGATATTATTTTACTATGCATTGTAATATTGTGATAAATCACTATTATGTATTTGCTTATACTTCCTGAATTGCTGGCCACTTCATAAATACCCTCCCACATGATTTAGAAGACAAAGGCCATCTTTATTTGTGGAATGTGGGGGTGAGAGAAAGGGAAGCATTGAGGATTAGGTGCAGAGCAGGGAGAAAGAGTGCTTGCCATTTCCTGAGGCGGCAGGAAGTCAGGTGGAAGAACTGGTTTGGGGTGAAATTCCTAGAGTGGCCTCCTTGAGAAACACGAGTTTATACGATAAACTCTTAAATTTACGCTGAGTTTAAGAAGTCTGGGAGATATCCAAACAGAGATGTCTAGAAGTAGTTGCAAACTTACTCTGAAGTTAAAGTGAGAAAGTTTGGGATTCATTAGAGATATAGATGACATTTAAAGCCATGAGGTAAGACGTATGCACCCAGAAAGAACATATATAAAGAAAATAGAGTCCTGAAAAGAACCCTGAAGAACATCATCGTTTAACATGTGAGCAGATAAATAAGAGGCTGAAAAGAACCATCTTCATTAAGTATCATACAAATTGAACCATTTCCACAATTTCAGCCAATGTTAAATCTCAAATTTCATTGACCAGAACTTATATGTAACCACTCTGTACCAGCCAAAATATTTAAGTTTTTTAAACATTATCTGAGTATCTTAAGAATCCATGCTGCTGCAAGTCACTCTTCCCTCATCTTTTCTCTTGGTCTTCTCCATGTTTTACAATATCTTTTCTCTACCAAACTCTCATTTGATATCTATTTCCTTTTAAGTTTTTTTTTTTTTTTCAACTTAAAAAGAAATCTCCTTGCATCAATAGTTTGGTAGTAAGGCAAGCATGTTTTTTCTTTGTCGGAGTTACCAGGTTTCCGATCAAGTACGGGAGTTTGTTTCACCCTGTGTAAGCTTCACCAAGAACCTGGCTTGAAGAAATGAACCCAGGCTACTGAAGCCAAGTGCTGGGTGCTGCTTTAGGTGGGCCCCGCAACAGTCCCGGACATCATCAATCAAACAAAGATGAGAACAGTATCAATGCAGTTTCATCAGGCTCTCAGGCTGAGAGTGAGATTCATGAATAAACTCCAGGGTTTATGAATTTTTTACCCAGCAATATGGTACACATTGCCAATCAACATAACACGAGAAGACACAGGAAACCTTTTGTTTTACCACACCAACAACTTAACAAAGAACGGAACTGTCAACCTTACAAATTAAGACTCTTAATCCTGTGTTTTGTCATTCTTGCTAATCAATAAAAATTAAGAATGAATGTTAGGACTAAAACAAAATTGAACATAGGAAGTTATGAGATTAGCTGTCAGTGACTAACAAGTATTGCTCCAGAGCAGGCAGCTTTTTTCCCTGGATCTTTTCCAGGTCTAGTAAATGTAGTTCCATTCCAAACAATTAACAAATGTCAAGCATTAAAAAAAAAAAAAAGGCTAATTTATACATATAAGGATAAAATTAACTACTTTGCTCATGGCTGTACACATTGTGCACTGCTCCAACTGGGGAGCTAATCCTATTACAGATATTGAATATTTATTATGACATGTATTTAATATGATTAACATTTATTTACTACCAGTTTTCTATCAAATGGTAGTAAAGTGTGTTGCTCTAATAAATTATATATTTGATGACAATTTTTTGACAGAGTGTCTTAAAGAAATAATGGGCACCATGTGGGCTCCTGGTGGCCCTAACAACCCGTGGTAAAAGAGATTTTAAAAGTCAGAGTGCTTCTAAATTTTATCAAGTATTTTGAGTCTTCAAAAGACGATCAAATTTCAATATTAAGTCTTGTCATGTCAGGCAAGCTATTTAACTTTGTGAGACACATTTTCTCTTCTGGAAAATCAAAGGCCTGGCCAAGTGGTTATTTTGTTCCTTTCCACTCTACAATCACTTTAAGATTCTCGCGGAGCAGATGCACCTATGGTTTGTTGGAACAGCATGGGTGTCTAAGGAGTCTTACAAAGGCCTCCAAAAGACTGAAAAAAACCCTCAAAACCGAAATTTCATTAACTTTAATATAAATATCAGGCAAAGGTGTTGCAAGAGAGAATGCTAGTTTTCGAACATTTACTAGGTATCAGGCTTTTCTCGTACATTATCTCATTAACCATTCTGTGAGTTAGTTATCCTCACTTTATGGAGCAAGAAACAGCTAGTATATTGTAGAACCAATCACACTGTTTCTCAGAGGAGAAGAGTCTATTATCTCAAGGGTATAGGACAAAGAAAACTGGACATTGGAAACATCTGAAAAAAGCCAAAAGAGATAGAAAGATCTGGAAGATGTGAACATTAAGTCTACCAAAATGGTTAGACCAGGACTAACCATTGACAAACTATGGCTGCCCATCACCTACTTTTATAAGTAAAATTTTAATGGAACACAGTCATGTCCACTCACTGACGTGCTGTCTATGGCTGCTTTCACACCACAAAGGCAGAAATAAGCAGTCATGACACCCTTTGGCCTGCAAAGCCTAACATGTTTACTATCTCGCTCTTTATAGAAAGTTTCCTGACCCCCATCTGTAAGCATATGCTTATAGCTATAACTTATCCATTCATCCCCAGATCCTACCACCACCACCTTTATGAGTGAATTTCTGCTGGAAAACTTGTTACTGAGAGCCAGTGCAGTGTCTGACGTCATCTATCTGTACTCGCGCTTACTGGCATTTCCTTTTCTAGCGCTAGTGTTGGAGCAGTTCTTCAATCACATCCCCTGTATCACGTTATCGTAAAGCCCAAACCAGTTAATTAAACTGCGTTCACGACAGGTTCCCCCTCCCACCTAAGGTGCTTGTTTCCTACTTCCTGTTCCTTCAGGGCACTCGTTTCCAAATCGATTGTGTTAAACTCAATGTTGTAGCACAAAAAACTGTCACAACAGAAATGACTTTACTTATTAATAGATTATTAATCTCCATATATTATTTGTGACAGGTAGAACCGGCCTTAATAACTTTGATTCTTTTCAAATAGCATAGATGTTCTCTTGACTGCCACGTACTTCACACATAATCCCTGCTTATTTCAGGGCAGAATTAGTTTTATATGCTGGAATATGAGCACAGTCTGTGAAAGTCAAACAGTTCTTTAACTTATAGAAAACATGTTTTAATTTTAATAATTAACTAATTATATATATGTACATGTATACATACACACATATAATTTCCACAAGGAGCAAAAACAGTTTCATTAGTAATTTAATATTTTTTATAAAAACTTGAGATACAATTCACATCCCATACAATTTACACAAAGTATACAATTCAGTGATTTTTAGTATATTCAGAGTTGTGCCACCACTATTACAATTAACTCTACATTTTCATCACACCGAAAAGAAACCTCAAACTTATTAGCTATCACTCTCACTCACCTCTAAACCCACCAGCCCTAAGCAACCACTAATCTAGTTTCTCTATACAGAGATTTGACTATTCTGGACATTTCATATAAATGAAATCATATTATATGTGGCCTATTCTGGCTGACTTCTTTCACTTGGCATAATGTGTTCAAGGTTCATCTATGTCATAGCATGTGTCAGTACTTCGTCTCTTTTTTATTGCCAAATAATATTTCATTGTATGAATATGCCGCATTTTGTTTATGCAATTTATTAGTTGACAGACATTTTGCTAGTTTTCATTTTTGGCTATTATGAATAATACTGCTATGAACATTTGTTTATAAGTTTATGTGTGGATATATGTTCTCATTTCTCCTCGGTATATACCTAAGAGGGGAATCGCTGGGTCATATAGTAACTCTATGTTTAGCCTTTTGAGGAACTGCCAGACTGTTTTCCCAAGCGGCTGTACCATTTTACATTTCTACCAACAGTTAATGAGGGTTCTAATTTCTCTACATCCTCACCAATATTTGTTATTATCTTTTTCATTATAACTTTCCTGGTGACTATGAAGTAGTATGGCATTGTAAGTCTGATTTCGTATTTGTATTTCCCTGATGGCTAATGATGTTGAGCATCTTTTCATGTGCTTCCTGGCCCTTCATAGCTCTTCTTTGGAGAACTGCCAATTCAGAGCCTTGTCCATTTCTCTAAATCAGGATCTTTGTCTTTTTGTTTGGTTATATTAATTCTTTATATATTCTAAATAAAAGTTCCTTCCTTATCTAATATATGATTTGTAAAAATTTTTTTTTTTTTGCTTTCTTGATGGTATCCTTGGAAACAGAAAAGTTTTAATTCTGATGCTGTTCAATTTATGTATTTTTTTCCTTTTATTGCTCATGCTTTCGGTGTCATTTACTTAAGAAACCATTATCCAATCCAAGATCATGAATATTTATGCCTATGACTTTTTCTAAAAGTTTTATGGTGTTTGCCCTTGTAACTAGGCCTTTGGTTCACTTTGAATTAATTTTGACTGTGAGGTAAGGGTCCAATTTCCAATTCCTTCACATGTGGATATCCAGCTGTTCCAGCACCATTTGTTGAAAACACTATTTTCCTCTATTAAACTGTCTTAGCGCCCTTTTAAAAAATCAGTTGACCATAAATGTGAGGGTTATTTCTAGACTCTCAATCTATTCCTAGGAGTTTGGAAGTGTTCCTTCCTCACTAATTTTTTGGGAATAATTTAAGAAAGGTAAGTGTCAACTCTTCATAAATGTTTGGTAGAATTCACCTGTGAAGCCATCTGGTCCTGGACTTTTTGTTTTGGGGAGTTTTTAAATTACTGATTCAGTGTCATTACTTATAATTGGTCTATTTTCTATTTCTTCATGATTCAGTCTTGGAAGGTTGTATGTTTCTAGGAACTGATTCATTTTTTAGGTTTTCCAGTGTATTGGCATATAATTGTTTGTAGTAGTCTCTTATGATCCTTTGCATTGCTATGTTATTGAGGAAACTTTTTTATATCTAAAAAGATAAAACTGCATCTGCTGAGTATAGGAAAATATATTCTTGTAGGAAAAAAGTTGCACAATAAATTAATAACTCATTATCACTTCTACATACATGTGAAAAAATACATAGTAGAATTATTAAAGTTCTCTATCACTGGCATTTCCTGTTTCAAATGTTTTCATATTAAAATAGACATTTATATTTCAAAAACATCACTGTAATGACTTATTCAAAAACATATCATGTTTTGTAGTTTAAAACAGCACAGTAGCAAACATGGTTGTTGCACAAATGCTCAGAGCTGTGTTGCCTGAGAAGGTAAAAACAAAATAATTCTCAATTAAAGTGTGGTTGTGCTCTGTGTAGTATAGATAATGCCTTCTGCTTTAATTCGCTCCAATATTGGTCCATAGATCTCCTTTGAAAAGGGCCCAATCAGGCCTTTAGCTTGAATTTCACCTGGAAGAAAATAAATTTGTAGTCATAATTTTAAAGGTAGTATTAAAGAATATTTCTATAGCGAGAATCTCCAGACGGTCCCCCCATAAAGTCAGAGTCAATGAATTGTTGGAGGCCTAGACATTTTTAAAACAGCTACTTAAATGTCTTTTGCTAAATTATTATTTAATCAACATGCTATAAGGAAAAGGGGTTATTCAAATTGAAAACACTTAGGGACCGTGTCAGAATTTATATGCTTAACAATTAAACTTCTGCCAAGATAATCAGAGAATATAGTATAGTAAGAAAGTAAGGTAAACCTAACTGGTCTGCTTTATTTTCTGATGGCATTTTATTTAAAAGTATAACACCAACAGAATGAATTAAAACCAGTCTGGTTATTTGGGCCTGGGCATCTGTTAGGCCTGCTGAAATAGTAAGTCTGGGCACTTTCCTTAAAGGCCATTATGACCTCATCCCTGATCACTTCTTCACTCTGCTTCCTCAATAACTAAGTACATGGTTTAATTTGATGTTAGGTGGAATGCTATCATAGATATGTTTTCTCATTATTTGATATTGATATGCTTTGATGTTTTTTACAACCCTCACACTTTCAGAAGGGCCAAATGGGGTATTATTCAGAAGTAATGCTTATTTGAACATATATATGTGATCTTAAGAGAAGAGTGGAGAGTTGAAATTTGAATTCATTTTGTTCAAAATATTTACTGAGTACTGACAATATACTGAGATATGAAGATTAATAAAACATAGTCTCAATTTTTGAAGATCTAAAGTGAGCTATTTCAGTGTTACCACCCTCAAAATATGAAAAACCAAAGAAAGAAAAAAAAAGGCATTAACATTCCTTGACGGCCTCTCTACACGGTAAGAGTTTTATGTATTATTTCACTTTAGTGTCACAATACCCTATAAATTAGAGGTGGCAATCTCCTCTTTAAAAATGAGAAAACTCTGGCTCAGAGATGCTGTGTAACTTGTACGCCATCACTCAGCCATCTTGTGACTGAGCTGTAGTTAGAAATCAGTTCTAACTACAAAGTCCATGCTTTATATCACCACAAAGTGATCCCCCATTCAGCCAGCGCTTGGCTTTTCTGAGACGGCTCACTTTTCACCAACGCCAGTGTCAAACTCAAGAGTAGGGATTTGATGTCCAGGCACTGAATGATTTGGAGAGGATATGAAAACAGACTCGGTCCTCCAATGAAACAACTTACCATCAAGCAACATCTTGGCTGCCATCGCGGTGGGTAATCCCACAGTTTTAGCCATGGCTGAAAAGCCTTTGGTGTCTCCATAAACCACGAGATTAATAGTTTTACTTTCTAAATGTCCAGAAGGATGTCTGATTCCAAAGCTGTCTCTCATCACAATCATATCTTTCTCTCCGGGACCTCAAAGTAAACAAACAGATGTTTTAAAATGCCAGTAACATCACAACTCCAATATCGTATTTCATCTCCTGCTGCTGCCCTCCCTCCCATTATATATGGTCCTTAGACAATTATCTATTCCGGTTTTTCACCCAAAGACCAAGTAAAAAACCTAAGGAATGTATAACTCTGATCATGTTCTTCTATCTAGGTTGTTATCACCACAGCCTGGCCACAGACACAAGAACACCGCTGTAGAGGCCACTTACTTTTCTCACAAAAACGCTCCTTTCACCATTTCCTAATGAGTTAAAAATTAAATGTAAAACTAATACTTTTTTTCCTTTCCCATATTACCCAAGTTCATTCTTAATTGTTCTCTTATTCTTCCCTCTGGAAAAAGAGCCCAACTGTTCTTTCCCTCACATCACACTTCCCCACTCCTACAACTTGGCTTCAGTCCTGCGATCTGATTTTTCAGTCATACTGATGACATCTTATGATTCTTTGGGATGTTTAGTGAAAAGCCCATGACCTACCGTACGAAAGTTTTGTGGCTAAATGCTTGGAGAGCGCTTCCACAACAGACTCTGCCCGAGGGACCTGATCATTCCCAAGCAAGCCCAACCTGAGAAGCACAAGAGATGGCTGCATTAGCTCAAGTCCTATACACATTCTCACTTGGAAAGCAGAAGGAATCGTTTCTTGGATTTGTCCTTAAAAGGGCAGTATCACAAGATGACAGTTTAAGTTATTGGACTCTCCTAAATTGTGAAATAAAAATAACAATATTAATGTCTTAATCTTTAGAATCATCCCCAGACTCCCCCAGGCAGTGCTCCCTGGAGCAGAACTGATGCCTTGGAAGTCTATGCTGTTGCAAAGCTTTTTAGGAGACAAACTTACAGGTTAGTTCTCCCACATTAGGGATACCAGCAAAATGTGCCAGTGCCGTGTAAATGAGTGTTTTAAAGCAGTTGCAGGAAGACTGGGAGAACCTCCTGCAGGAGAGAAAAATATCCCACCTTTCTTGGGAACTGAGTAGCAAAGTGTCTCAAACTAAGTATTCCCCAAGATATAATTGCCATTGAATTTCTCTCCTTATCTGGGTTTTATCCCCACATGAACATGGTATGTGATAATCTCTCTACAACAGGCCAACATTAGCAGCAAATTAATCAAGGACGATGTACAATGTTTGGCTCTATTTTGACTTTCCTTTGACCAGAAAAGACTAAGTAACCATCGATCCAATATTTTGCTCTAAGTTGATTGGTGGGTGCCTACCATACAGCAGCCTCCAGCTGGGTATTGTCCCCTCCTAGTTTCTTAAGGACGGCTTCCTTGAGCACATCGGACTTGGAGGAGGGTGAAATCCCAACTAGATCACAGAGGAGCTCTTTCTGGTTAGAAAAATAAAAATAAAAATTCTAAGTTCCTAATAAAATAAAACATAAGTTGAGAAAGTATTTTATTAAGACATTGTACCTCAAATGCAACTCAAAATTTAAATTAGAAATAGTAAATTGTAACATGTACATGTGCATGCACACGTGTGCACACCCACACATCAATAAATGCATAGTATTCCAAAATATTTTAACACAAATGGATCATAACATTAAATCAATACTAAACAGATAGTATTATATTTACCATCACATTTCTTGCCTTTGCAAATTCTCTCCATCACTTTTTCATTCATTCTGCCTTACTCTTCAGCAGTCCATTTTGGCCAGGATACAGTGAAAGGAGCTTATTGCTCTGGTTGCTAGTAGCAACCAGAGTTCTTTTATAGAACCAAGAGATGAGAAAGACCTTGCAGATAATAAAATTTCAAAGGAAGAACACTTAACTTCCTTGGTCATAGCTTTTTCTACTTTCTAAATAAGACTTTTTTCCAGGCTCCCCAAGGAAGTTAAGCTTTAGATTAAAGGGTCAACAAACTAGTTCACAGGCCAAATTTGGCTCACCATCTGGCTTTGTAAATAAAAGTTTTATTGGAACTCGCTCATTTGTTTATGTATTGTTTATAACAGAATTGAGTAGTCTGACAAAGAATGCATGGCCCATAAAGCCTAATATATTTTCAATCTGATCTTTTACTAAAAAAAAAAAAAAAAAATTTTTGCCAACTCCTTATTTTAGACTGTAGCTACCAAGATATTGGAGCCAGTCCCAAAATGCCTATATCAACCTTCCCAATGCAGCTGCCTCAACCCCAGATTCACCCTATGGATACTTATTTATTCCTGTCCAACGAGTACATTTATGGAACACAGATTGCCAACGTTCTCAGACACACAAAAAACTAAATTGAAAAGCAACTGGCTAGCGGGATAACCAAAGTTTCTTTGGGAAACTTACTGGGATTAGCAATATTGATCCTTTTCTCCCTGTGATAAATTTCTGGCACTTCAACTGGAATATTGGATCATCAATTTTTTTTTTTTTTGCTTACACAAGTTATTGCTTATTTCTTTTTTACGTGACCTATTTTTTTAAATTTATTTATTTATTTATTTATTGGTGACATTGGTTAATGAAATCCAGCAAGTTTCAGGTATACGACTTAACCATAAGGTGTGTGTGTATAGATATATACTGTATTGTGTGTTCCTCTCCCATAATTAGATTTTTTTCTGTCACCACATATTTGACCCCTAATACTCTATCTACCTCTCCATTCCCCCCTCTCTCCTGCTCTGTGGGAACATTAATTTAAGTTAGATGACCATCTAGTAACAAGTTAATTCCTGGCAGTTGAAAGCTCTATGTTCAGTTCCAAGCCTCCAAAGCCCCTTCCAACCCTAAGACTCTATGATTTTAATACAACATAGATATGGGCATAAACTCAGTAACTGAAAACTTAAATTACTCATGGTTACACATGGCCAAATGAAATAACTAATAGGATTCACAGATTGGGAATCCAGTTCTGTGACACCATCAGCCACTCTCCTGCATTATCAATTGCAGGAAGCCCAAGCTTAATTTCTGTCACTGAGTCACCACTTAAACAAGTGGCAGAGCCCGGAGCCCAGCGCAGAAAGCAAATCAATCTCTTCCTAGGGCTGAGGGAATGATCGAGTGGTAAGAGTTGCTGCAGAAAATACCAGGTGAGTTAGCGTCCATGCTCTCTCCATCCTCCCACAACAGTGAAGGGAAAGGGGACTTGGGGGCTAGGGCTTATCCTCTTACACATAAGCCACCAAAGGGGTTCTTTTGCTAGTCCGAACCATAGTTCAAATCTAACGATTTCAGAAGGCAGTTCTGAGGAACAGCAGACAGTGTACAATTTTGGAGTCACTCACCCAGGTGAGAGGCTTGGCTTCAGGTCTAAGGGCAGGAAATGCATCTCTGTTTATAAGACCCAATTTCACAAACCCATTCAAGGCTTTGGCATATCCCTGTAATGAGAATTATTAAGCAGTATACGAAAATTGTCTCTTAAAAGAAAAAAAATATGAAACCTTTTTTCAAGAGGGGGATCTGCCTTTACAATTCAATGAGAAAACGGACTGAAGAGAGTCATTTGTATTGCTAGTAAGGATGCAAACTTATTTGCGTTATATGCTTTCTAGTTCAGCAAAATAGTATTTAATAGAGTAGCTGTTTTCTCTCACAATGCAAAGAGCTTGTCAAAATAAACCCCAAAAGCAGATAATCCGTTCTACTAATTAAGAGCCACTATCCTCATACATATAGGGAGCAAGAAAAAGAGGTGGAGCAAAGAAATTTTTCTAAAATATCATCACTGATAAAAATTCCTCATGTGCCCTTCACTCTCTACAGGATGAGGTTGAAGTCCTTGGTATATTATATAAAACCCATCCTAATAGGTCCCCCTAGCCTGACTCACTAATCATCATCTCCACCACTCACTATTCCCCAAACATGCTGTGCTTTTCCAGGGACCTGGGCCTCTGTGCACACTGCCACTGTGCCTTGAATGTGGGAGCCACCCTTCCTCACCTGTGAAATGTTTAGTCCTCCCTTGAGACCCAACTCAGGGTACCTACTGAGCCCCCTAGGTGAATAGGCACTCCCTTTTCTGTATTTCTGTACTATTTTGTACATATCTCTATTATGGCACTTGACACAAATTGTAATTAATTGTCTATTCAGCTGCTGGACTGTAGGTATAGGAAATGTGTGTGTGTGTGTGTGGTGGGAAACTATCTTAGGAAGTAATAAAGGTATTAAAATATGAAATAATTTCTGTAGCCATTGGGTATTTCACCATTTAATGTGTGGCCAACTAATAATTTTCACATTTTTAAAATATCGTATTATTCAAACTGTTCAAAGGCTACTAATTAAAGAACTCACATTTATTTGTTCTAACCCAATGAAAATATACTTCAAAGAGGAGAAACAAAAAAGCAATACCCCGAGCTTGCTTCTAGGATCTGATAAGTGCCAGAGATCCCTTTATTTAACATCTAAAATACTGAGACATTTTCGAGCTACTTCTGGTGACCTCCAGAAATGAATTTATCATTTGTATTCATTCATCAATAAGCATTTAGTAAATTGCTGCCACGTGTCAGACGTGTGCTAGGAGCCGAGTCCACAGAGATGAAAAATGCAGTCCCCACCCATGAAGAAACTGCAATCCAGTAGGAAAGGTCAGATAAGTCAAATGCATAATGACTACACTGCAGTAGAATATTACAGGTGCTATGATAGAGGTAAACACGGAGCTATGGGAGCACAGAGGAGGGGACACTCGCATGGATGCGTGTGTGGGGCGGGGGAGTCAAGGAGAAAGAGTTAAGAAAGATCCTGTGGGAATATGATATCAGGCTGGGTCTGCAAGAACAAGCAGGTGACAGGCAGGTGCAGGAGAGTGGCTGAGGTATCCCATCACACTTGGGAAAGTGACACTGACTACATTTCAGCTTTAGGGATATAAAACAGAGGCTGAAGCTGACTGGCACATTTTATCCCACTGACCTCAAAGACTAATGAGACAAAAATTATATTTTTAACTATGAAGAAGATGGACATTTTCATTCTCACTGGATTTGAACCTAAAGGCTGGGGATGCTGCTACCATCCTGCCACCATGTGGAGCCTGGGACCGCAGCCAGTACTTGAAGGAAGAGCTGAGAAGTGAAGAGAAACCAGGTTCCAGTGAGGTCATTGACCCCCAAAACTCATTACACCTGAAGCTAATCTTTTTTGCCTGCCACCTACTCCTCATGATCCAAAAATTCCCTTTTTGTCAAGCCATTTTGAGTTGTCTCCTAAAACATCCAATCAACAGTCCAGAGCAAACAGACTCCAACCTGGTTCACCATCTTAATTATTTTGATTACTAAGAAAAACGAAGCGTATACATCTCGTATGTCAAAATAGGGAACGTGTTTCATCTTCGATACAGCCTCTTACCTTATATCTCAGTGTACCCCGCAACAACGTGTGAGCAGAGGGAATGCCATAAACCTCAGCGTATTTGGTGCTGTCTCTGTTAGGGTAGCCTTCCAAATTTAGTCCGGGGTAATAATCCATGGGAGTAACCGCATCGAGAAAGGAGACGCCCCCTTTGACATTCACAACCTGAGGAACATGGAAAAGGCATATCTGGGCAACAAATAATGCGTTATTTGCAAACTAAAGACATCAAAGTTTTAAAAGAAAGCAATAGAGGACTGGAAAAAATCCTTTACGAAGCTATCATAGTCAACATCCCATACTCAAGCTGTTCCACTATAATCATAATCCACAAGGCCATTCTCTTAAGCTTTAAAATCTGACTTAAAACATTTCATTTTTTTTACTAAAGTCTTATTTCCTACTTTTTCTTGCCCCTGGATTAGATGGCACTGACTCATGTCCCACGTGAGTTTTGTTTTGTCTTTAAATAAACAATAAGCTAAAAGCGACAGATACTCACTTAAATGGCTTCTACCCGCAAAGAGCAATGGCAATATTCTCGTGCTGCTCTTTTTCTTCGCTCCCATCCCCCTCTGAACGCCACACCAGGCACCGGCCTCGTGCACTGGCCTCGTGCACTTCACTCACACAGCAGCATTTACTTTCACTGAGCACCTTCTAGGTGTGCGTCAGGGTCTCGCTCAATGCGCACAGAATAAGGAGAGTGATGAATAAGGTACGATTCCTGTCTCCTTTCACTCCTTTATTCATTAAACAAACATTTACTGAATGTCTACCAAGTGCCAGGAGCTGTGCTGAAGTTACTATAAGGAGCTCACAGCCTAGACTAGTCAGTCTTTGGTGTCTGCTGGGGACAGGGAGTGGGGGAAGTATCCTCTTACAAGGAAGACAATGCAAAAAAAAAATACAGTGAAACTCAGAAAAGTGCTAACCCAGATCTGACTGCTGGTGAGAAGTTAAATCACCGATTCCCAGGCTCCGTTATCTCTCAGTAATGCTTTTACCCACACCCCTCGCTCCAGCACACATGCAAAATACAGTGAAGTTTTTTTTTCTTTAATTTTGATTAAAGGCCTGGTTTTTTTGTTTGTTTGTTTTTTGATTTTTAGTTTGTGGGGTTTGTAATCATCCTTGAGATAACAGAACATATCCTGCAGTGATAAGATTCCCGCGGGGGTGAGTGGTGGCCCTGGATTTTGTCCTGCTTGCACCACAATTTCTGACCACGTGTCTGAAGCTGCACAGAACAACCCTGCACGAGGGGGTTGCCAATGTACCTTCAGATGGATTCTGAGGAATTCGCCCAAAGGAGTCTTCGGCTAATTTAATGATTCCCAGAGTTTATTTGCACATAGATTCTGCATGTGTCTCGGTATGAAAAGAAAATGGAAACGCGTCTCTCTAGCTGAAGCCCCAGAAGGAATCATGCCATGCAGACTGCGGAATCACGCCTCGTGGTGTCTCTCCATTTAAAAGGCTCCCTTTGCAGAGCACCGAGCACCAGCTAAAATTCCAAGAGTGAGAATCTAAAGGAAGTGAGGAACGTTTTTCATTTAATTTTCCTATAAAACTCTTCTGGACTGCACAGTAAACATTTCCAGAGAGATCATTTCTGCACTGTTTCTTTAAAATGAGTTTCTTCTATCAGGAATCTAAATTTTAAAGAAAAATCTATTAAGAAGGCAATTGTTAACCTTTTGGGTCTCCACATCCATCTCATTTCTATAACCTATGGCAGTTCTAAAGCTTTGTTTACTTGTTTAAAGGTTAGGAAGTTTTTTTAAAGAAAAATTCGACAAAGACTTCTATATTCCAGCACTTTACTAATGAGAAATAAATCAACTGGTTCATAAGTCAATCATGAGATTCTTGTGAAGAAAATAAGAAAATGTAAGCTGAATGGTAATGATTCATTTAGAGAGATTGACAGCTGCCAAAGCAACTTGACCCAAAAATTACCAGGTAATTATTATTATTTGACATCATGTCAGAGTTGTATTTCTAGTGGCATATTATGGGGTTCATTAATAAGCCCTGTCCTCTTTAATATTTTATTAATGACTTAGATGAAGACAGAAAGACAGATTTATCTATTGACAGAGAATATGCATTTTTTTCTGACTCGACACTGCTCCCTTCCAAGACCCACTCCCAGAAGAAAGAGTGGCTCATTATTCACTGCTGTTGTAGGCTGCTCTAAGACCAACTCTTTAACACACACACACACACACCCCTCACCCACCAAAGAAAATCACAGATAATAAGCTTGACTGCTAAACTAACAAGAAATATAACATAAGAAATATTCAGACAATTATTTACTCAGGGCCCACTGTGTGCTAGGTGCCTCATACACATTACCTTTAATCCATGCAATAACCAATTTTTCAGAGTCAAAAACTGAGACTGAGTCATCCAGAGGCAGATCTGAACTCAGGTCTATCTTTCTCCTATACCATACTGATCCCTTGATTGTGCTTATTTCTGGATCAGTGTCTTAAGAGGGGTACTGATTGACAGGGTACAGCATTCCAGAGTTAGCCACAGTTTTAGACTTGAAAATTGCATTAAGCATGGTTGTAGGCAATAGAGAGCAGTGACCACTCTTAATTTTCTGCAAAGGAAGAGCTGGGTGCTGCAGTCAAAGTGAACTTGACTTGCAGGCACACTTGAGAGCTAGAAAACCTATCTTACTGCTGTGATTGCAAAGTATGGTCTTGACTATGTTTAGCTGGGGGTAGCTTGCGGGAGAAGGCTGCAGGAGGTGCTGGTGAAGCTCTGCCACATCACACCCAGGTGCCATCAGTATGGGACAGTGTCCCAGTACCCATGGAGGGAACAGAACTAAGAGAAGACACAATCACTATCTCCAAATATGTGGAAGGAAATCAGATTTGTTAGAAGTAAGAGTCAAAGTTAGGAGCTAGAAATAGTACCAGTGGCTGGAAAGTACTCCAAGAATGTAGGACAATGAGGTATGTCTTAATTCATGGGCCTCTGCCCAAGTTACTGGGAAAGTTGAAGGCTTCGACTTTAAGCAGAAGCCAGAGGTCACCTGGCTCCCCCTTTATGATTCTGTGAATTATGTAAGGACTACTCCGAGGTCACAGAGGGGATGAAAGGACAAGAATACAAGAGGCTGCTGGGTCGAGAGACAGAGTGATACACTTGAATTACTGAGTGAATAATACAGCATCCGGAAAACTCTTAGACACAATCAAAGTGCGGGAATTCAGACAAAAGAATAGTGAACGGGAGCTGGAGTGGTCAGGAAAAGATGCATCCACAAGAGGAAACTTGAGTGGGACCTTGAAAAAAGTATCATTTTCACAAAGAAAAGAAAAGCATCATGTTTTCTCTTGGTATCCTCCACAGTGTCAGGGAGATGCAAAAAGCACTCCTTTTTCTTTTTTTTTTTTTTTTAACAAAAGGAGTTCGGGATGAAAGGGGAAAACTTCAGATTCAACAAATACAACTGCTGCGGCCTGAAAACAACCTCTTTCTTTTCCCAAGTTCTCACCGCCATCAATTTCTTTATGTAACTAATATTTGATAGGGACTTACGAGCCTGACAATGTGCAGTTATGCAGTTTATAATCCATGTGACCTCACTGAGCCTGACTGCAAGAACCCTGCAAGGTTGGTATTATTATGTTTATCTTCAGACGTGCAGCCCAAAGCACAGAGAGATTAGATGATTGTTCTAGTGCCATCCAGCCAGTGATGGCAGAACTACAGCATAAAGCTAGACTCACTGATGTCAAAGCCCTTGCTCTTTGGGTTGCACTCTGCTGACCCTTTCATTGTTCTCATCTCTGTCATTTATATGGCCTCCTGAAAATAAGCATTTGCCCAACTGAAGCGAGAATTTTTCCTGCATTTACATGTTAGTTTATAGCAAACATAGGCCAGTCTCTTTTTCACAACTGCAGGAGGTAGAAGGAGCTATTGAAATGCAACGGGAGATAGGCTGTGGCAGATAAACACATGTGTCCTTGGTAGAACATCAGACTGAGTTTCTTGCCCAAACCTTCATGATTCACAGAATGGGGGAACTGGATAGAACATCAGCACGCACAGGACACATCTGGAGACTGATGCCCAGTGGACCTTTACAACCGCCTAGCCTTTGGTGACACTGTGAGGGATGCCACCACTTGGAATTCAAGAGTTCTTTTTCATATCCTGAAACATGTGAATGTATCTTTGCAGTATCAAAGTTAAGTGTCTTGTTGTTTGGTAGAGTTTTGAGTACAGCTGAGGTCCTCTGGTAACTAAATTGTTTTTTTCTCAAATTCAGCCGCATATTAGAATCATTTCAGGCAAAGCAGAAGCTTTGGGGACAGGGCCCAGACATAGGTATTTTGTAAGCTGCCCTGCTGATTTAATGTACAGCAAGGCTGTGAGCCACCCTCTCTCGTAGGTACAGCAGACCGTGGCTGATAATATTCACCTTGTCTCTAAAGAGATCCTTTCCCTTTTCTCTTTTGTTTGTACACAAAATACATTTATATTCACAGATATACTGAGAATTTATAATACTGCTGCCAGAATAATCTTTTTAAGACACACATCTGCTCATATAACTCATCACACCCTGCAGAGCCAGGACTAAGGTGAGGTGAGGGAGGCGCGTAGGCATAAATTTAAAGAGGATCCCTCAGTCCAGTCATATTTGCTCCCAAATATGAGTCTTTCCTTACAGTTAGAAGATAAGCCATGAAGGCAGATGGATGTGACTTGGATACTGGTTGTGCCACTTGTCATCTCTTTAGTTGTGGCTGTTAGCTAAGCTTCTTAGAGCTGTTTTCTCCCTTTTAAACCTGATAGAGTTGTCGTAAGAATCAAATGAAGTCGCCGCTTAGCAGTCATGAGTGACAGCATCCCTGCCCAGCTGGTGGCTTCTTATCCTGCAAGGCCAGGCACATGTTATCTTCTCTCTTAATTCTTCTCCTCGCCTCCTCACCAAGGTCAAATCAACTGCCCTCTCATCTGCATCATGTGGCACTTTAGCGTACTTTGGAACTTCTCTCACTCGATTATAGCTATTATTATTCCAGTGTCAGTCTTTCCTGCCATGAAGCAATCTGGTAAAATGAGAAAGAAAAGGCTTTGGAGTTTTAGACCTAAGTTTGAATTCCAGTTGAATGATCTTAACCTTCTCTTTCAGCCACAGTTTCCCTCTTATAACATGATGAAAATGATACTAAACTCAGAGAGTGTTTACATTCTGGTACGCAGCAGCTAGGGAGGAAAAAAATTAGTTTCTTTCCCTGACCCACCAAACCCTCCATTCCAAGAGCATCTTCATTCCAGCTGAGTTCTCTGAGGTCAGAAACCTCAGTCGGTATGACAACCTTTGGAGCCTTGCCCCAAAGGCCAGCACACAGTAGACACTCAGTAATTGTTTGTCGTGCTGAAATAAATTGCAAGATGACCGATATTTACATACTCAAAGAAGCTGAGAAGTGAGTTTTCCAAAAGCAGAAACAACTTGCAAGAAGAAGAGGAAAGAACGAGCACAAGTTTTGCTGGGGACCATGAAGAGACACATGAAATGGAACAGAAAATCTACTCCGGGAAAAGCCGAAGGAGGAGAGGATGGAGGACAGGCAGGACAGCCCTGACTAAAGGGCCCTGGTGTCGGGGAGGAGTCTGGACCTTCTCAGGCGGTTGCTGCAGGTTCATATCCCTAAGCTCTAGAATCCTTCACCTTGCCATTGAGGAGGTAGGTGGCGGGCTGCATTATGTTCATCAAGACTCCCGTGGGACTCCAGCTAAACTTGTATCTCAGAGGATTGTCTGAATATTCAGGGGCTGGAAGCCCACCACAGTAGGAAATATAAGATTCAATCTGTAAAATAAAGAATCAATAAATTAGGGAGAATTAACAGTAAGTTAGGGAGAATATTGTACCTAAGTAATTGAGTATGACATGTATGAGATAAACTTGCTATAGTTTTTCCTTTCTTAATATTACAAAAAGGCTTTCCAAAATACATCCTTAAAGTCAAACACCATTTGATTGTCATAATTACATTTTATATATAATTATTTTTTTTAAAACCCTCTAGAGATTGTGACTAACATTTTGTCCAGTTAAAAATCCAAATATTCTTCAATTCTGCTTGGTCAGTTCCTCCTGATTTTTGTATCAAATCATATATCTGATTATAACTTGATTATATATTATTGTTGTATACAATTTTAAATAATCAATATGTAATTAACTAATATATGACATATAATTAATATGTAATTACAATTAATTTGATTATATATTGTATATAAAAAATCTAAAACATTTCATCTGATTCATCGCATTTTCATATCCATGTGTAAAAGATATTTCATTTACCAATGGATAGATGATATTATAAAGAATTTTTCCGAATTTTAAAAGTCAAACCTTTTTTAAATATACCAACATAATATTTTACTGTACAGGATGACAATCTTAAAAAGAATTTATACATGTATCATGTGGAACATTTTCATATCTAATTTATATTTTGCAAGATATTTGACAATGTACAAAGAATACCCAGTTCTTGGTGGTGACTATTTTGTATTGATTTATTTACAAAATGTCACCACATAATAGTAACTACCTTTTTTTCAAAAATCAGAGTTGGTGCTATAAAAACCAGTAAGATAAATTGTTAAGCTTACAAAAGTCGCCTTAGCAGCACTGTTCCCAGGCATATTATTGTTAAATAAAATGACTCCAAAGTCCACATGTAGATTCTAGTTCTGATTATACACAGTCATTCTGAAGCACAATCTAATTAGATGGACAGGAGAAAGTGGAAGACTCAAGCAGCCTTATCAACCTCTGTAAGAGGTGTACGTTAGCCAGTTGGTACATCTTTCTAGCTATACCACCTTTTATTTATAATGGGACCACTCAGTCGCCCCATTATGCTAAAACATGGTTCCTTTGGAAAAACCAAAGCATTCTCTAGACCAGCTAAACTAGTCAGCAGGGTGAGTAAAAAGTGACTGTCGGTAATGAAAAGTGGTTTCATTTCTTTGAACTTTTTCTGTTGCTTTTCTAGACTCCTTATCTTTTTCTGATTTTGAAGGCTTTGAAGATTTTGTCTTTTTCTTTATCATAGCATCAATTTCCAATCTTCCTTTCTCGTCAGATTGAGAGTCAGCTTTATTTAACTCTTCGTTGTATTCAGAATCCAGTGCTGGGCCTATGAATCCAGTCTGGACATCTTTACTGCCTGAAGTGAGTATGGAATAAGGTGGACTTCCCTGTTGTAAGCTCTTGTAAAGCCTGCTTTCACTTTGGGATCCTGCTTGGAGAAGGGGTTAAGTTTGCCTCTCCAGCTGCTAATTTCCATGATATTCTCAAAGTCTTCTTTCATCAAATAACATGCATCCATAAGAGCAAAAACATTCTGTAATCCTTCTACCCCATGTGAGGTTAAGGGCTGTACAAGTGGATCCTTTATACGTAACAGATAATCCATATTTATAGCACTTTTGCTGGATCATGTGCAGTCAGATCCTAAACAACAAAATCTCCAGTCTAAAATCTTTTATTAAACCAAAATATTTTAGTAGCATCTATTTCTCTAAAAATAAATTGCTAAGACTTGGACATTGTTTTACCATGCAGATATTTCTGCATTACAGAATTTTACTTGAAATTTCTAGTCAAAATATGAATTAAATTATAGCAACACCTTTAATTAAAATTAGAGAAAGAGTATTCCAAAAACAAAAACCTGGATGTTTGCATGTTTTCCTAAATGGAGTTTTGGGTATAACTGGACTCACCGTGGCTCCTACTTCTTTGGCCTTATCTATTGTTTCCATTGCCAACATGTGATCAAGACCAGGGTCCAATCCCAATTCTCCAATGATTGTGATGCCAGCATCTTTCACACTACAACAGGTGAAAAGAAGAAGAAGGAAAAGTTGGGTATAAAATAAAAATAATGCCATGGAGCTACTTCATTAAAAATGACTGAAACTTACCTCTTCTCTAATTCTTTTAGTGCTGGTGTGATATAGCTTGCAGTGATCATGTTAACTTTGCTTGTGATGCATGCCTTGGCCACAAGAGGATGCAATACATAAGGCAACAAGCTTAAAAACAAAGGAAGAAGCTAATCAGAAACTTCCTTTTCCAATTCTACCTTCCAATGTATCTTGAACCGCACCAAAGCTGAGACTGCTCTGATTAATTTATTCTCTGAGAAATGATCAATGGCTCCTTGAGGACTACAAAATAAACGCATCCCGTTAGCACATTCAAAACTCTCCACAATATGACCTTCACCTAACTTTTCCATTTTTCTCCTATCTCCTCCAGAAACCATATGTAGGAACCAAAGAAGCATTGTAACTCTCCACTCCCAGCCTTCGCTTTGGCAGTTCCGAATCTTTCCTCTTACTGGGCCTTCCACTTGGAATTCTCCCTCTGCTAACTCACCCCCATCCAGGTCATACCCTCCTTAAAGAAATGTCTGAAAAGTCATCTCCTCCAAGAAGATTTCTCCAAAGCCAGATCTCCTCCCTTTTTTAAGCATCCAGCTATTTCTTTATAACATTTAATGGAATTTATTCTATCCATCCTTATATTTCTGACTTCCTGTCTTAGGTCCCTACTAAAAAATAAGGTTGCTGTCCTTTTACCTCCACATCTTTCAAATGGCTATCAGGATGAGATGAGACTTAGTTAAGGTGGCCTGTGTGTTACATTAAAGAGTAGAGTCTAGGAAGGTCCAGGGTAGGAGATAGGCTTTAATGATATTGACTGGTGTAAAAGTTATCAAAATAGTGAAAAGTCTATATGGTAAACAAAAAATGAAGCTGTACTTAAAATTTTAACTTTGAATGAGTTTTCTAAAAATCTGGCTTAGGTGTTTTAATTTGGTATCGGGACTACATAAGCACATAAAAAAATGAATTTCCATAAATGTTGATATAAATGAGTATATTCATGTTCTATCCAAGAAATAATAAAATACTCTGTCAATTGCTTAACAATATTGAAGTTCTACCAGCTTATTGCCTATTTGGTAAAGCAATCTACAGAGTACCAATGAAAATATAAATAAAAACTCATAAACATTATTATGAGTTTTATTATTATACTATATCACAATATATGTCAAATTCATCTTGCATACTTCAGATTTTCTCTATTTCACATAAAGCTAAACAATAAAACCACCTCTCAGGCTCTTGATCCTCCTCAGGTAAATAGAATAAATATTGATAAATATATTTATCATCATACAGAATAAAATTGTGTACATATTTTGCCAATATTAATATAAAATATCTTGAGCTGTTTCTGGCTTTTTTGATCTAAAAGAATGATCCCTAAATATGGTAGCCCTTTATAAGCCAATGAATAAGATACTTGTAAAATTCTTTGTTGGAAAAGTATTAATAGAAAATGTATAATGACATCATCTTAAAGGTTAAATGGAGATATTTTTTTTAAATCACTTTCCCCACATTGAAAACTTGCCTGTAAAAATGTTATCAAGATCTAATAATATTTTTAAATTTTGGCACTATCTGCAATAACCTAATAAAAAGCTGAGAGTTAAAATGATAAGATTGTGATTGATGGTGACTTTTTTAGACAAAAGGATTAGAATTCATAATTCACCATGCATGTGACATAGTAACTAACCAAGGGGACATAACTCGAATTATTTAAGTTGACTCCAACCCAATTAACTAAAATACTTGGAAATGCCACTTATGAAAACATACACAAAATACAAGTGGAATTTTCAAAGTAACTTAGCAAACTGGATTACTATTTGCATTAAATTGATAAAAACTAAAATTGAAAATTTAAATCTATGAGGATTTAACATATTATAATTTGTGTGTGTGTGTGTGTGAAACCTAGCCTTTACTCAATTTATTTTGGTAGTCCCTATGCTTACATCAAAATGTTGCTTCGCCAACTTAAAAAATAAAAAATTATTTAAGGAACACTACAAGATAACAATGTTTAACAGCATTACCACTATTCAGCAAAGAAATTCAACCAACTGAGAAAAATTAAATATAAAACAAGTTTTGCTAATGCTAAATCTTACGAAAGGCCACCGGTTTGCTAAATTTTAAATTTTGAACATACTAAATTATTGTTTTTTATCCATTATCTTGTCATATTTTGCTTCAGATTTAATTCAAAATGTATTTTGTTATTTTTTTTAGCAGAAAACAATGTTATATTTAGGTCTATTGGTCATTAGTAAATTTTTACTAAATGAAATTTAACATACATTAAATTTGTATAGATTAAGTAATGTTTTAAGTGCCCAAAATGAATGTATATTTAAAGATATTAAGAGATAATGCAAAAGTTTTCACTTAGAATTACCTTTCATTATATGTTTTCCAAGACTGTAGTTTTTTTTTTTTAAGTAGGACATCACAGAACTGCCTTCAACAATATCATTTGAATTTGATCTAGCTATGAATTCTAGCTATAAATGAGCAGGTAACTTTCTTCTTTCCATCTTGGAAAAATTATATTATAAGAATAAATTACTATTCTCATCACTTTGACATTTCAAAACAAAGTTTAATTATAAAATGAAACTCGTGTAGCTCTGTTTCTAGAAGTTAGATCTGCATTTCTATTAGATAGTAATAAATACCATATTTTGAAATCTGTTCCTTTAATAAGATTCAAAATGGTCATAAAAGTAGAGGATCTATTCAGTTTCATTTAAGCTTTATAAATCCAAAGGATAAAATAGCTAGCTACCAAAACATGTGGAACAGGAATACCTCATGACCCAGAAATTCCACTTTTAGGTAGATACCCACTAGAAATGTGTATATATGATAATCAAAAGGTAAATACTAAAATGTTGATAGCAGCATGATTCATAACAGCCAAATTCCAAAAACAACCTAAACATCCATCAACCATCAAATGGATAACAATGGTATATTCGCACATGGAATATTACACGGTAATGAGAATGAAAAATTATAATCACAGACAATAACATAAACAACTTTCACAATCACAACGATGAATGAAAGAAGGCAGCCACAAATGAGAAGATACCAAACGATTCCAATCATCAAAGTTAAAAACTAGCAAAAACTAATCTATACTTTAGAAACCAAGATAGTGCTTACTTTTGGGCTAAGTAAATGCAAGGTAGGCAAAAGGAGAGATTCTGGGGTGCATATTCTGTTTCTGGTTGTGGATGAGAATTGCATGGTGTGTTTACTTTGTAAAAATTCATTGGACTGTACATTTAGGATTTGTGCACCTTTCTCAACGCACAATTCAACTAAAAAGTTTACTTAGAGAACAGAAGACAAGAGAAAATAAGGAAGGAGAAATAAGAACAACAAAACATATGACAACCATTTCTTGCTAGATACTAACCTGATGACAAGATCTTGTGTTGCCACCAAGGAGACCAATTTCTCTTCTTGTTTACCAATGTCCATGATAACAGGACTAATGTTATATTTCTTGCCTAACTGTTCAATTTGATTCTTTATGTCAGAGCCTAGTCAAGAATTAAAAAGTCCAATTTTTAGATTTCCTTCCATTAGAAAGCAAAACACATTTCAAATCTCTAAAAAATAATTTTTCAAAGTTTAGAAACAAAATAGTCATTTAAAATTCAGAGTAAACATGCTATGAAATAAGTTTTTCCTCTTTTTAAAAAAAAGAAAAATTAGGGCTTATTTACCTACTGTTATTTCTATGTTGTCATCTCTCGACAGATATTCCAGTACAGGCTCAGATACATAACCACTTCCAAGAACCAAGACCTTTTTCTTGGTAGTCATTGAAAGTGACTGAGCAAGTTCCCTATTTAAAAAAAGAAAGAAATGGTGAGGGACAGGGGAATCATTTAATCAAAGAAAAAAAAAATGTAAATAACAAAATCTTGCTGTCCTTTGGTTACCAAACTAAAACTTAGGCTATGAAGCAATAATTTTTCCCACATTATTCATAATAAGAACCTCAATGGAAGTTTCCCATACCAACATTTTTTATAAATTATTTTAGCTTTTGTACGATAAACAATAGACCTCATCATTGCTTGTCCATAGACTTTAAAAAATTCGACTGGTGAGGCTTAGATGCTGGACCATGGCTTGTCTTACTCACGATTGAGTGACTTGTCTCACACACTGCCCTTTTGGGGACATTATTTAAAATTGTGCTAGGGGCTTTACCTCAGAAACCTTATTTACTCCTCTGAATAATCTGAGGAGACAACAATCTGAAGAGGAAATTATTATTATTATCCATATTAGCTATGTTTGGTCATTTAACTTTAGGTTCACTTGAGAACAGTTGAAATCATAACTTTGAAATCATAAATGCCATGTGTCAAATGTAGAAATCTAAGATGATTTACTAGGCAGGATTTTAATTCTTGAACTTAGCATTTGTACCTTCCTGACAGATAACTCTTTTTCTTTCCAACAAAATATGACCTTCAAGGCAGGGACTAAGCTTTACTTATCTTCATAAACCCATTAATGCTCAGTCTAATCTGTCTTATCTATAAAAGGTCTTTTGAATCAAATTCCCAGATAACAGTGTAAAACCCTGGAAATGGCCTGGTGCCAGGGACTTGAGCAGCAGGCTATGTTGGGATATTTTAGGCCAGGACATCTCTTAAACACCAATGATAAGTGAATTAAAATAAATATAAAATGTCGCTGTCCCTCTTCGCCCCCAACACTCATACTACCAATGAAGCGAAGTCTCCTTTAACTTCCACCCCCATGACATTTCGCCTCCTGAAAGAACCATTATTATTTGGTTATTGTATATCTTTTCGAATAACACTTTCTTTAATTTCTGTAATTATTATTTTGATGTCTAAATATAAAGTGCTCAAAATACATTTTTAAAGACTCACTCCTAGATTCTACTAGTGTCTGTCTCATCAGCACCCTCAGACAATCCAGGTTAATAAGCACTGTGCTAAATGATGAAGAGGACATAAGATTAAGGCAGGGTGCAAGATTCTACCAGGGAAGGAGGGCAGGCAGTCCTAGCAATTGGAGCCAAGTAGACCTGCTGCTACATGAAATACGGTCTGTAAGAATGAAGACGTCTTCGTGACTGGTCATGTTACACACGTCATTAGGATTAGTAATATAAGAGATCATCAGGTGACGAGAATCAAAAGATACAGAGAGCTATGAAAAACAAATGCATGTGACGCGTCCCTTATAAGAAACTCCCCTATGGGGTTATAGAGCTGGCTGCATTTAAAAAACAAACAAACAAACAAATTATACGCTCTTGCTGTCTTATGCCAAAATATTTCATTGATGTGTAAAAAGTAACTACAAGTAAACTAACACATATAGAAAAAGCATAACGTAATATACTTGATCTTTATTTACTTCTTGTAGGTAGAACAGCTGAGAAAGAAGATAAGGCAGTTTGTTTGCTGGTTTGTCTGTTATTAATTTTCCCACTCTGGTCTCTCCTGAGAATTTAATGCATGGGTTATTTTGTTCAATATGAATAGATCATGTATAAACACAAATCAAGTGCAATCAGCTGAAGTGGACCAGAATATTCCAAGAAATGTTAATGTTTTCAAACTTGGAGTAAAAAAATCAATTAAGGAAACAAGGGCCTTAGCTGAGTACATTTCTATAGCTATTCTCTTGGGCAGATTTACCAGGTTATTTTTTGGCACCTTCCTCCTAGGTGCCAAAATCCCCAGGGAAAATTGACCTCTGATCATTTTCTTTCTTCACGACTCGTAATTTCCAACCAAGAGCCCACTTTCCTAAACATTATACTAAACAAAAGAGTCCAAACCCTCAACAAAAATCCAGACTGAAAGCACCATGGAAGTGGGTAGTGAGCTCACTTTCATTTGAGAAAGTCACTGAGACATGGCAACATGCAAATGTCAGACAAAGACACCCCAAGGAAAGCACTTTTAGACTTTTGCTTGCTTATACATAAGTCTACATAAGATATTAGAAAGCCCAAAAAGAACAAGACTGCTCAGGAGAAAATAATTCACTCTGGTTTCAGCCAGTCATTTAGTTAGGATGGCCTATATTTATAGACATTTCCAAAATTTACATCTTGTATAAAGCCAGTCTCATGAACTCACATTGAAACATTAAAGAAATACTTATAAGACCAAGATAAGAACAATGCTTACCTGCTCTCTCGGAGTTTCTGGATATATTTATACTTATCAGGCAATGTACCGTTGGATGTAATCACTGCCTAAATGTATACAAGACATTTCTTTAATATCCACATTTTAGTCCCACAAACTTGGGCTCATGACTGATAGAAAAAGATGGAGAGAGAGAAAGGGAAAGGAAAGAGGAGAGAGAGGTTGGTGATGAAAAAAAATACATTCATAGGAAAAAATAATTTCATAACTTACATCTCTCACCACAGGAGAAAAATTCTGACTTTCAAGAGGCTGTGTTGCATCTGATAATATCTGAAAGGAAATGAGATTGGTCATAGATAAATGACATTGTAAAGAAGGCTTCTTGGTGTTTGCATCCATGATAAAATATTAGTCAAAAGAAAAAAAATTAGAAAAGTTTTCTGAAGACCACTGAATGTAAATAATTGGTAATAGAAGTCTTGTACAAGCAGTAAATTCTGCCCCATGAGAACATGCTACTTCAACACAAGCTCCAATTTTAAAACTAAAATTTGACTACAATTATCTTTGCTTGCTGAAAACATGAACAAGTTATCCTTTCCCACCAGTTAAATATGTCATATTGAGCATGCTGGCAAATATCACCACAATCTTTATAGCCATAGTCTTCCGACTAAGGGCCCATTTCAAAGGTGCAAGATGTTCTATTAGAAGTAGACAATAGGCCTTCCAGACAGCAAGCCAACCTTACAATAGTGAATCTCCCTCAGGTGAGTACTAGTTCTGCAAATATAGGCACATCAGCATTTCAAAAGTGCCAGGGAAAGTGACTTGACCAAGTCGACCTTAAAGATGCATCTACACTCTTCCTATTATCTCTCAGAAGAACGAGCCAGATGGCCAACAACAAAAACCACATCTCTCATATTAACATCTCAGCAACCTTCTAGTACTCCTATTTTTCTTTGAAGGTATCCAGCTCTTGACTACACTGCCAAAGGGTAAAAATCATAAAATCATATATGTCATATAAATCAGTACTGTTGCTTCTGATGGTCAGGGCATTGGAGCCAATGAGATGATCATTCCACCCTTATCCATAGGCTAAGGTCTAGAACTCACTCAACTAAGAAAGAGTAAAGTACACCCCCCAGATGCTGGCAGGAGAGTATTTATTTACTGTATTAAAATAAATGTAAAACTACTCTCATGTATCTAAAACACAAGACACCTAAGGTTATCTATTTCTAGGATATAGACATTAAAAAAAAAAGTTAAGATAAGCCATAGCATTCTTTCTTTGGGAAGCTCATGGAATTAACACACCTGGGGGTCTCCACACTGTTTCTTTCTCCCAGGCACCTTTGAAGTATTCTCTTCTCAAGCTGACTCCTATACCTACCAACCCTGTCTACAGGCCAGAAGCCAAATGAGATTTGAATTTCATTCAGCATATAGTTAAACTTTGAACTCTCTCTGCTCTTTGTCTCTAATTCTACAGCTTTATTTACGCCTTACTGGGACCATGGGAACCTTTCTTCCTTCCATTTATCTCTAGTCTAAAATATAAATCTGATTATTTCTCCTGTGCCTATTTAAAATAACTTGGTAGCTTTTCCTTGCCTTCAAGATAAAGTTTCTAGCTCCCTAGGTGACCCAGAAGACTTTCCACAGGCTGGTTCTGCCTCTCCAACCTCAACCCTCCATTTTGCCTCATACCCAACACTTCAGTCCTATTAACCACGTGGAGATGCTTATCTGCAACATGCTTTCACATGCCCCGCATGCTGTTCCTCTACCTTGAACTCCCACTCTTTGTCCTCCAAGGCACAGCTGAAGATTTGCCTCCTCTGTGGAGTCTTTACCAAAATTTGCCCCCAAGCATGCCTTGAAGGTAGAAACTGCATTAACATCTTGCCATATGCCTGCTACATTATAAAATGGCAAATATTCAATTAATATATTAGTGGATACATACAATAATTATTTCAAGTTCAGTGGATTTTTCCCCCAAGAAAGCTAAATAATTGTCATGAGTTCACATAAAAACAAACATAAAAGACAACAAAAGCCTGCTCAATTACTACAGCAACAATCTCCTTTGCTAGAATTCAACCATTACAAGAACCCTGAAGCATATGGTATGCCTTGTCACTTTCACGTATAACACCTTTGAGAGCTCATCATTCTTCCCTGTAATTTCAAGCTATTTACCCTGATGTTAAGACCTTTTGCCCAGCATACTTACCACTGCTACATCATACTTAACAACTCAGAGAATCCCCAAATTAAATTAACTCCCACCTTTGCTCTCCTGTCTTCATCACAGTGTGCCTCCCACTCTCATGCAAATGAATGGATCCCATACATCTATCAAGAGCCAGCTCAAATGTCGCCTCTTTCTAATGGTCGCCACATTCTACCTTATGGCTGGAAGACACACTTGTCTCATCCCTTTCCAGGACCTCGTGCTTCTGTAGGTCAGAAGCTGTGTTTTAATTCTCTTCATTCATGTGTGTGCCTTGTTCTAACAGACAATAAATACCTATCGGATTCAACTAAAACAAAAATTCTATATTGGTTCAAAACGATAGTGTGTGCCCTGCAATGGTACAGAATA